GTCTTTCTCGACTTGCAAAATTTTGAACTAATTCTAAATAATTGTAACCATAGACTTGTCTCATATTACAGCAAGATAAGAGAAGATAACAAAAGCAAGGAAGCAAGACAAGAATCAAGAAAAAGACTAAAAAAATGCAACAACGCCGTGCTGAAGCTTTCGGGTCAGATTATTTTGTGACGTTAGAGTGGTATCTAACTACAAGTTTTCATTGATAATTTGTATGTATCTGCACGTTATGACTACCATACTAAGACAATATGGAAAAAATTGGGGCCCAACAAGATATTTTGCAAGTATTTAAAAAAAATCGAAAATAAACCGAATAATTACTAATATGTGTGTTAAGAAAATATTGGTTTCTTCTTTTTTACCATACTAGATAAACGATTAGCTTGTAATAACTTGTTTGAAGCAAATCAAGGCTTTACCAGTATAAAAATCATAGTTTATTATGATCAGCTCGTTCACTATTATTTATTATTATGTCTATTACGTGCTGACAACAGCCATGCAATCGATAAAACAATGTTTGTCGAAAATTATCCAGACTACTTTTCCATTTATCTGTCACACAGTTCAATGTCTGTTTCTCAAACACAACATTTGAACCATAATTTTCAATAAATAAAGGTCCGGATTGTTAGAAGGCCAATCCAATCCATAACTACTACTACAGAAAGGTTTGTAAAAAAAACAATTTTTAGCCGTTCAGCTTATATTGGATCATTATTTGTTAAAAATCTTCACCCTCTTCAAAGCATTTTCTGATATCTGGAAGAACTGTTTCCAAATTTCTGTATAAAACTTTATATTTCTAATGTGTGTAAAACGGTACAACAAATCTTATGTGCCCAAAGGCTAATTTTTTTAACACACTGTGTATTAATATGTATGCAGAATGCTTTGTTTTAAAGTTCAGATGACGCAGAACTAAACAGTTTAATAAATATTTGAAGTTGTTTAACATCGAAGAAAAGTGATTACCAAACTATAACTCGAATTAAGCAAACTTATCCTGGTTTTACTACTTGCGTCCTCCGCGAAAACCGAATCTTCCTTAGCAAAGCGCTTGGATTCGAAAAGCTTGCGTGTTTGTTTAGACTGAAAGAAATACGCGTAGATAAAAAAATTTTTTATTGTCAATATCGAATACAGATGCTGTACGGAGAGGGACAGAAGTATTTCACAGTCACAATTTATCTAATTTTATAAATTTTATATAAGTTAAAAAGTCCAATTTTTGAACCACTTACTTAACAGTTGCTTTTTGCATTACAAATTATGTTGTTATAATTTATAGCAGAAAGCAGCAAAGACAATTGTGTGATAGAGTTTATTATTTTTGTGATTCTTATGTTCTTACGTTTAACTGTTTTTTTTACCGTGTTTATGAGTTACTTGCTACTTGAGCGAGACTATTTACGCGCTAAGGCAGAAATTGAGTGCGTTATTAATTTATTATCATATTGTTATATTAAATAAACGTTAATATTAACAATTAATTTAAGCAGCTGATAAAGTAAGTGTCCAAAGTTGGGTTTTTTAAAATTTATAAAATTAAATAAATTATGCTTTGTCTCCTCTCCCTGTAAATATTATAGTATGCAGAACTTGTCTTTAATGTTAGCAAATTATTTATCTAAATATACGGTTGTCAAAGTTGGGGCCTCAACACTGCTTGACCGTAGTCGAGCAGGAAGTGAGACCAAAGCGCAAGATTAAAGTAAATGGGGGAGAACCTTTTTCGTTGCACTGGCGAAATTTTTGCAGCTGCATTACTGACTCATTTAGGAAATGCAAATCCCAAAATTCCCATAACTAAATTTGTAGAAAAAGTGGATGGAAATAACATATTCAAATAACTATTCCTGGCATAGTAAACCGACTTTAAGCATGAGAGAGTTGTTGTAGAGTTTGACAGTAAAAAATAACCTTGTTAAGTACATGAAACAATCTGATTTTTCATTCGGTCAAATTTATGTCTTGTATCCATTCTAGCTTTAAACGAGATTTGTTTTACTAAATTATTTCTAAAGGTACATTGACAAGCAAAAAAAACTACTAGCTCTCAAGTATCAAGGTAGCAACCAAATACCAGCCATGTACTGCAAAATGGGTTAAAACTTTAAGCTAGTTATAAAGTCAAAGATGCGGAAATATTTCTAAAGATAAAAAAAATCCCAACACCTTCAATCTGATGATGTCGATAAAGAATCCCTACAGTAGTAAGCGGAAGTCTGTAGTAAATTGATGTCGCGTTTTGTGGAAGTGTAGCAAATTTGACGAACTGGAAATCGAAAGTGTATGTGATTAGCGCATTAAACTTATAAATTACTCGTAAAGCAAGTGTTTTAACTCATTAGAGGTTTGGAAAAGCGATAAACGATGGAAGCGATTGAGAAAGCAGAGGATGGTAAATTTTAATATTAGTAATATTATTATGATGATAATAATAATGGTAGTGGTAGAAGCTCTGAATTGCAGCGATTCTGCTAATTTAAAAGACAGCCAAAAAATCGACTAAAACCTTACGAATACTTGGAAAGTCACGCCCGCGTAAGGAAACTAAAGAATGAAATTAACGACATAGCCAAGTCCAATTACTGCAAGCCCGCAACCAAGCGAGCAAGAAAAAGGGAGAGAATTTCGAACAATACGTAGCCGAAGAAATTGGACGAATTTTTGGTAGTGCAGACCAAATCAGTAAGTTTACCAGCAAAAAAGAAAATTTTTACCGAAACTGGGAAAATAGCTGGTCAAAAGCGAAAGTTATCCCGTTAATGGTTTTGGGAGCCGAGATTTTTTCCTTTCGTATAACTACTCTAATATTCCGTTTATATTACTATGTTTTCGCTTTCCGAATAAAAATATTTACACAACTCGAATATTGTTGAAGTTGACGAAAGGCTTAAGTAAACGTTTTCCAAAATATTTTATAGACCGCATTAACAAATTCCACAGAACCTTCCTTATTTGTAGCGTGTCACTTTTTTTTTCTCTTTTATCATTAGATAGCTTCGTTCGTAGTTGAGAATAGGACGTCAATACCAAACGCGTCAATGACATAGTTGTACTTAATGTGCCAGCTGTGGCGTCGTTCATTCTGGACATATTTTTCATTAGCGAGAGCCACTTGTTCATTTGCTATTATGTTATTTTTTGTGATTACCAGACTTGATATTTTAAATGCCGTGTAACCAGCATTACTGGACATGACGACTGATAAACAGATAAACTCACCGATTCATCGACTTAAAAATCAATCATAATACAATAGATATCATTTACATGCCATATTTGTTTAAATTAAAAACAATATACAGTCTTTATCAATTATTACAAAAAATTGTTTAGATTACAAAGCGAATTCTTTTTAGAGTGTGTTCGGCCAGATTACATCAGCAACGAACGCAATCGCACGGGCGCATCGGTTGAGATTATAAGTTGCAAACCATCAGCAAGCAAAATTTTCTCACCAGACAGTGAAACATGGCGCAAAGATTCGAATCAGATACCAGAATTTGAGACGGTATTTAAAAGTTGGCAAGTTACTTGACAAAGGCTATACCTAGTTAGTCATACCTGCTAGCGACAGTTCACGTTGAACTGATGAGATGCTAAATCTGTCAATTGACAGTCATGATAATAACTGCAAGAAAAAAATAACCTATGTCAGACTGCCGTATCTGTTGTTCGTTTTCGGAAATTGGTTACTTTTTCAATATTGTCGCAATAGTTTGAAAACGCCAATTATGGTTTATCGTTGTTTCTTGCGGTAATTGCTATTACTTATATGCTGTGCTACAATATAAAGAAAGAACTATCGAGACGAACTCTGTTTGGGATAGAAAGAGTGTGTGGGCGCTTGACGATAATGCAGATACAGTAATACTACCATGTTTAGAGTTTTTATTGCAGCATGCCATTATGGCTGTATTGTTGAAGACTAGTTCTACTTGATACCACCCATTTTGTAAATCAGGATAGCATTGGATATTTTATTGAGACCATTTCCGGATTTTAAAATACCCGTTGTGTTAATTCATTATCTCTTTCGTTGACTGGCGGTATTTCTAGAAAAGTAAATTACAAATATCAGATGATGTACTGTATCTTGATTTTTTGCCATCGGGAGTAACACAACTTCTTTCTTATCAACTCATCACATCCTTTGTGCATGGATGTATATATTAGTATTAGTACGTATGTTTATGTACATTCCATACATATGCACAAAGATTTAAACGGGAAGAGCATATATAGACTGTATAATTACACACGGGTGAATATTAATATATACGTTAATGTTACTAATCTATTTTCACCCATTTGTGCACGTCACTCCGCAGATCGTACGGCTAATATTAGAGCTACTGCATAAAGATAGCCTTATTGATTACAACCTTTTTTGTCCAAGTAAAATCTTATAACCAATGTGACATAATCACAATAGTTTGATATAGATAACAAACAACATCGAATAACCAAACATTAATAATTTTCTGTTTTAAACTTATCCCCGTCGTCGGTTTTTTTTTGTCATTGAACTTTCTCATCGATCCCCTTTTCGTTCCCTTTCCTTTCCCTACCATTCCTTCCCTTCCCATCCCTTTTCCCATTAGTTTCGATACCCGGAAATCTATCTCTAATTTTCACCGAATAAATGTCGACAATTCGGGATGCAACTCGCTTGTCTGCTTAGGACACAAACAAATGTGCAACATGCAACCCTCCAAAACCGTCGATTGCGTTCAGCCGAACTATCCCAATCACGTAAGAAGCAATTACAAAGTGGCGAAAGAAGAACGAAGAGTATTGTATCTTAAATAAATTTCCAATACGACCATGCAATTCATTGTACAAGAAAAAAAACTGTAACGTCCGAGTACTACCTTAATTAACAATCAGAAACTATTTATAATCGATTTCTCTCCTCTCTCACATTCCTTGTCTTCACGGCTCTCTAATTTATTTATTTTTACTAAAGGACTATAGAAATGGCGAGGCCGCGAAAGACTGTTCTACTATTCCTCTCATGGATAGTGATAATGACAGTAATGGTTCCTATATTACTGTCTACCACTGCTGAAGCTTTTGATGTTCGATTGTTGTTTAAGAAGGATTTGAAGCCACCCTCAACTTGTGTTACTCCGCATAAAGATCCTAATGGTGGTGGAAGCGGGTCTGGTGGTGGAAGCGGGTCTGGCAGCGGCGGTGGTTCTGGCAGCGGTGGTGGTGGTTCTGGTAGCGGTGGAGGAGGTGGTTCTGGAAGCGGTGGAGGAGGTGGTTCTGGTAGCGGTGGAGGAGGTTCTGGTAGCGGCGGCGGCGGTGGTGGTTCTGGTAGCGGCGGAGGAGGTTCTGGCAGCGGTGGAGGAGGAGGTTCTGGTAGCGGCGGAGGAGGAGGTTCTGGTAGCGGCGGAGGAGGTTCTGGTAGCGGTGGAGGAGGAGGTTCTGGCAGCGGTGGAGGAGGAGGTTCTGGTAGCGGTGGAGGAGGAGGAGGTAATGGCGGAGGAGGCAATGGAGGAGGAGGTAATGGCGGAGGAGGCAATGGCGGAGCAGGCAATGGCGGAGGAGGCAATGGAGGAGGAGGCAATGGAGGAGGAGGCAATGGAGGAGGAGGCAATGGCGGAGGTAATGGAGGAGGTAATGGAGGAGGTAATGGCGGAGGAGGTTCAACCTCTACAACTACTACTGTTACTACAAGCCAAGGCAACACAGTCACCACCGTCACTTCTGGCACTACCACCAGCATTATTTTCAACGGTGATGCCATTGACACTACCATTATTGAGAGCTTTCCCGCTAGCTCCTATTCCTCGGTCAACGACTGTCTCTACGCTACTGGTGCACAAATTATCCTCAAGTCAGCCAACGATTCTAGTTACAATAATTACCGATTTGGAGAAAACATCCGTATTGAAACATACCCATACGCGATTGCGTTCGCAGTTAACACTTCTCAAGTAGCTGCTCTCGTAGATTGCTCGGTCATATTTGGGAAAAAGCCGGTTCCCCGTTCTGGTGGTCACAGTTACGAGGGATTTTCATCACTGTCGGATTCGATTGTTATCGATCTGAGTCGTATTGCCTATGTTTCTGTGGATACTTCCAGTGGCTTTGCACTTGTTGGAGGAGGAATGCGCCTTGGTCCTCTATATCTTATCTTAGAAAGTTTCGGGTTTACCATTCCAGGACCATTCGTTCCCACAATTGGTATTTCTGGGCTAATTTCTTCCGGCGGTTATGGACTCGGTACTAGGAAATATGGTATTACGGCAGATGCAATAATCGGGGCCATTATTGTCGATGTTCGTGGAAATACACTGAGTGTTAGTGCGACAGAGAATGCAGACATTTTTTGGGCAATCAGAGGAGGTGGAGGAGGCGCGTACGGTATAATAACACAATTAAAGATACAATTGTCGGCCACTTGGAAAGATAGTACAGTATTCAGTTACGATTATGACTTTACGTCAGCACCAACTGTGATAAAAACCTATTCAGAATGGAGTGCAACGGCTGCGGCTGAAGTTACAAGTTTTTTGGTCTTTACTGGTGGCGTTATTCAGTTCCGTGGACACTATATTGGAACCGTGGCAGCAGCAACTCCCATACTTGATGGAAGCGGTCTGGTTACTATTCCCAATAACAATAAAGTCCTGCAACCATGTCCGTCCGAACTATCAAGATCATTCTTCCTCGGGGATAACACATGTAAAAATGAGGGATTACTTAACGTTGGTACTGATCCGTTTGTTCCGGTCGGTGCTGCTGCTGGAGGTACTGTTACCGCAGGTATTCTGCCGAAGATTGCACCAGCTCCTCAGACACCTCGTGAAAACAGCAAAGTCAAATCAATATTCTTCAACTCATCATTCACTGTGGAGCAATCTACTAGTATCACAACATTGCTTCAGTCTGCACCGACTGGGGCCAAAGTCGAATTCTACGGTCTTGGCGGCGTTCTTGCAACTGAAGCTACAGACTTGACATCCTTTTTCCATAGAAAATGGACGCTTCACGTTGTTATCACTGTTGTACTAACTGGTGATGCGACAGCAGATGCAAATGCCATTACCTGGATTAATCGTTGGGACACTGACATCAGGACTTTCGCCACCACTTATTCATATAGTGTAAGTAATTATGATGAATAATGTTCTTTAGTGTTTGTGGATATTCCGTACTTAATCGTGGCTTCTTTCGTTTTAGGGTTATGCCGACTTGGATCTGAAAAATCCGATTGTTTCTTACTATGGGAGCAATGCGGATCGCTTGGAGATTTCAAAAACGAAAGTTGATCCAACTGACATATTCGGTGATCCACAATCAATAATACCTAAAATAGTCACCGAAGGAGGTCCACCATGTAACGGCACCACACCTCCCGGTCCAAGCACGGCTAGTTTGCCGAATATATTGAGCTCTTGGTCTGTTCTCGCTTTGACTCTTATTACAATGATTTTCCCTATCATTTTATAGTAATTATTATAAAGGGTAAAGAGATTATAATATTTAGAAGTTTTCTCTCTTAGAATGTTAAAAACGAAGCTGATAGACACTTTTATATTTGATTCACTTTACATTGATGCCCAATATTTGGGCTTTTCAAAAGTCTATATCGGTTTTCTTTTTTCATGTTATAATTATGTAATATTTATTGGACAATAAGTTCGCCAACGTGAAAGGATATAAAAACGTGTGTAAACACGAATTAAAATAAAGTACAAAGAATTTAAATTCAAACGAGTTGCTTTCAAGAATGATAGAAGTTGAGGTCTATAATTATTATCCCGTGCAACTGAGAAAATTTTTGTTCGTGTTGTAATATTATCTAATATTAATAATATTAATATTGCAAAATCCATTTTAAAAATTTTAAAAATGATTTGTCACACGTCAGGTAACGAAATTCTTACCATTGCAAAATATTTTAACTTTTGCACAATGGAGAACAAACGGAAAAGCCAAAGAAAGTCTTCTACAAGAAATGCACGTACTAGCAGGACAAACAACCAAAATTCTCGAGACATACAATTAAAGCCGTCAAACACGTCAAAGACCAATACCAAGGCACAGCAGCAGCCTAAGCAACAGTCTAAGCAACAACCTAAAGCTACCTCCAAGATAAAAAAGACTACGAAAACGATAGTAAAGAAACCTGTCAAGAAAGTAACCTCCGTATTATTGGGTCTTCCAGATGGGGAATTATCTCTTGTCGAAGACGTTGATCCATATACTACAAAGATAGGAGGCGTACCGAATTGGTTACTTCCGTCTTGTCCCGTATCAACTCACGTAATAATATGCAAGAATTGCGATGAGCAAATGTTTTTGCTTTTTCAAGGATACGCACCACTAAAAGATTCACCATACGAAAGAGTAATATACATCTGGGGATGTAACCGACAGAGATGCATGAAGCGTGATGGCAGGTGAGAATGAAGAATGAATGAAAGACAGCAAAGAGAACGAGCTAGAATTCAGATCGCTTGCGAGAAAGCAAAAACCAGTGACTTATTGATTTTGCATTGTTTCAAGCTTTTGCGCAATTCGAGCCCAGAGACTTGATAAAGAATACGCAAAGCAACGTCAATTAACGACAAAAACCACACCGAATGCCAAAAACACGCTATCGATGTCAAACATTGATTCATTGTCGCAAGACCTCGCGAGACTAAACATACATGAACCAGATTCTCGTATATCAACATCGAAATCCATATGTAATGAAATCATACTTTTGCGTTGACTCTTTACTGTTTTGTTGCTCTCTGTGCTTATTTATGAATAAATTATATGATCTGATTTTTCGAAAAAAACAAACAAACAAACAAACAAACAAAATAGCCTGGTCTGATAATGTTCGTCATTTCCCTGGTCAGTGTTTGTACGTTACGGAGGAAATTCTTGAAGAAACCACGGATCCACTGCTGAAAAAGTACGATGAATACTTGACGATGGAGAGTGAATTTCTTGATGGGACAGAAGATGATTGGTCGGGTGAGCAGTACGAGAAGGCAGCTCTCCCGAAAGGTGTCGATAGAGCATTTAAGGGATTTTCAGAGCGAGTTGCGGAATGGTCTGATCAATGCGTTCGGTAATCGCAACAACTCTTGTATATTAATCCGTTGCTACTGCGATTCACTACAGAGTAACGATGTGAACAATCCATCCGGTTTGTAGGTACGACTTTGGGGGCCAGCCTCTTCTCTACAGCAGAAGCGATGCCACCGCCTCGCTTCTACTTGCGACATCGCCGACATCTTCCAACTTGCTGGAAACAACTAGTGATCGTGTCCCCCTATGTTCCTATTGTGGAGGACAACGCGTATTTGAGTTACAACTCATGCCCAATACTTTGTGCGTATTACGGACGAGTGATTTCGTAGACAATCCCGCGTGTGATGTTAGACCAGGACAGAACGCTAGGATGGGGATTGCTCAGTTTGATCTGGGCATGGAGTGGGGTACAATTATGGTCTTCACGTGTCGAAATAATTGTGACGTATCTGGCATGGCGAATGATGGAGTTGCTTATTATGAGGAATGCGTTCTGGTCCAATATGAGTAAATTGATGAGAGTTAGCGGGAGGTGTTTTTTTTATAGTTTTGCATTTCCTTAATTAATTATGATTTTTCGGAAACAAACTTGATATCAAAACTTCAACAAAATAAACCATAAATAGCATTCATGTTTTAGTAACTTACAGAATCAAAAGTTAAAACTATTTATTTATAGATATATGTTGGTCATATATGCCAACGTACAGGATTCTTCTTTTTGAAAAAACTAGCTAACTACATAAAGAAATATTCCCCCAACTCTTATAATTTTCTCTCATTAGATATTCCTCAGATTCTGCTACGGAAACTTCTACGTTCGTAGTAATTGGAATTACGTCTACGGTTGGCATGCGAATTACAATCACATCTGGGGCCGCATAATTCACAATTTCTGGGGACGAAATCTTGCGAGTTATCCTAAAGATTTAATCGAGTCAAAAAGTGAGGTTCGAGTTGCGCAATAAGAATGAAGTAGAAAAGTAACAAGAAACCGTACCTCGAACCAGACTGCAATGCTTTGTGGTTCTCTGTGAATGATCCTTTCCACGTCATCGGTGACCCTATCAGCACAGCCTTCTTCAATATAATGTAGGATATCGAGTCTATGTTGGGACAGCAAAAAAGTGGAGTTATCAAATAAATTAAGACATGATATATGTATACGATAGAAATAAAAGAGTACGTACGCGCATTCCACTTCAATGGGACGAAGAGGAAGTGGTATAGATGGGTATTTATGTTCATGTCTTCCCTCTTCTTCGAATCCAGAACGGCGAAGGTTATCTGCAATTCTGTTAAGTTCCCTCTTCACATCATTCGCAAGCCTAGTTCTCTCGTTGATATTCAACCTGTTCGCATCCTCCAACCCACAGTGCCTCAATCGATCTAACGCATCCATAATGTCATCAATTCTGCGAGCTTGCAAATCCTGCTGCCTACGATTGTTGTAGCGGTTGTCATCACGAGTATTGTAGCGGTTGTCATCACGAGTACTGTAGCGGTAGTCATCACGAGTATTGTAGCGGTATTTATCAACAGGTTGACGACCTCTATTGCGTCTCTCGAGGCGACGAACGGCGTCTTCAGCACATTCAAGACCATCAAAGAACTTCCTGACGCGCTTATCCACTTTTCTATTATCATTGATCAGTTTCGCGATAGCCCGCTTAGACCTGTTCAATCCATACCAAACAGAGGTACCACGTCTCTCCTCACGCCTGAGGTTTCGAAGATATTCTTCGAGCTCTTCTTCGCTGACTTGCTCGTACTCCACTGTGCCTTCTTCACCAATCGCGTCGTTAACGATTTCAATCATTTTATGGAGGCTGATTGACTTGGGACCGGTAAGGGTATAGCATTTGTTGTGGTGTCTTCGATCGATTTGGATGACCGTTTTATCGTGAGCCTTTGCAAGAATTTCGTAAATTACATGTGCGAAATCCTTCATGGCTAATGGAGCAAAGCGCCTCTGCGGCGATGGGGTCATGTTGAATGTGCCGCGATCTTCGACATGTGGAGCCCAAAGTTCCATCTGGGAAAATAAAATAGAAAAGTAATGTAAGATTACGCGAAAGTCCTAAACGAGATACATAGAAAAAGGGAAATGCCACCAACCATATCCTGGAGGAAAGCGGGTCTGATTGAGCATAAGGGATAAAAAAAACGATCAAGTTAAATCGGAAATCAAACACAAAAAATAATCGCAAGGATGGATATGTTACCTTACAACGCATACGCAACGTTCTGACGACTTTGTTTCTTTTTTCCAAATTTTTTCGATCTCGCAGTAATCCCTAAACAGCTGTCGTTTCCCTTCTCCTGCACCCTCAATGGAACCAACAAGAACTCCGCATAGTTGTTCTTCGTTGTTGGCAGCCTGCATCAATTTGAAAACGTGGACGTTAAGGACGAATCTTTACACTGTGATCAAAAGCCTTTTTTTTGTTTTCTCCTAACGATGCATATAATACGTACATCAGCCAGTTCCCTCGCCTGCCTGACGCGTTCTTCGTCGTGCTCAGGGAAGAAGACCATAACATTGGCGCCTCGGACCGCGTCTTCGACACTACGACGATCATCGTAACAAATTTCCCGAACTTCGGCTCCCTTTTTCCTCAACTCTCGAACGAGTTTATTGTCAGTATCTTGGGCCGTGACGACAGTTTTAACCTTAGCAGACGAGTCTTTGAGGCACTCGATAAGAGAAAGAGCGATGCAGAATGGGATGTAGTTGTCGACACCGGTTATCAAAAGGGTACATCGTTTCTTGCTCAGTGACATTCTGGTATAGATTTAGAGAGGCAAGCGGAGTATAAGATAACAGTCGTAGACGTAATAGAAAGAATCTTTGCAATTCGATTCGATTGAAAAGTGGGTGGTAGCTGCTTTTATCATTGAATTCGAGTAGAGGATTTAACGAACCTGGTATTTCAACTGAGTGTTCTCATGCGATCGTTCGTGGGTACATTTAGTTCATCTCGCATGCTGATTTCGTTTTTCAAAATAATTGGAACGGGCTTGTTAGCTCTGCATCAGAAGACAAAATCTCTCAGCGCGTGCATTTTATGATCGATTTAGTGCGTTTTAAGACTAGCACGAATTGTTTCGATATCAAGTAAAGTCTTTAGAGATGAAGCTAATTTTTGTTGCGAGCAAATTCATCTGTTCACGAGAGAAACGAACGATGCATGTGAAAAAAGAGCATTGTTATCTCAATATTACTTTTCCCAGTCTAGCATTGAAGGTCATGGCAAAGGCGTGTCATCTTCTCGCGCGCTAATCCTCCCTCTAAAGGACAAAGATGGAAATACTGATTTGATCGTGGGTTATCTGTCTATGATGGTCTGGTTCCATTGATATTTGTATGCGTTCTTCTCATGAGTGTGTGAGGGGCCCCGTTCACGGTGGGCGTGAGCATTCGATGATGACAAACCCGCTGTCACCGTGTCAATGCATGTGAGTAAGCTTGGCGCTGACGAGTGGGAAGTTTTCTTGTGGATTACTCAATACAGAATTCAGCATTTTTAAATTTTACTTTCCTCAAATTTATTATTACTATTATCGTATCATTATTACGTGAGAGATTACAGAGACGGCGGCAACACCGCAAATGTGTACATAATATATTTCTCATTTCTTATTGATCACAAGATTATTGCCTTTGTATTAAGCAACTGATCCAGCAGCAAGCACGTATAAATATGATGGAATCAAGAAACTAATAAACCATATTAAACTTCGAAGATTCCCAACTGCTTGACTCTCTCCGTTGATGTATACATAATTATAGATCATACGACACAAGACGTACGACCACGAAGCAATGTTGAGTGTGACATTGGACACGTTGGCGTAATTGGCCGCAATCTAGAACAAAGCCAAGAGTATTAGGGATTTGCTTATTATAGTTTCCCGGTTTCCCACTTACTTCTACCATACCCAAAAACTTACAACAGCACCAGCAAAAATTGAGAATGATTCCAAACCGTTCTGGTGAGCGGCTTCGCATCTCTTGGCTTTTCTAAAAGCAGCCTGAGTCATCATCTTTTCAGCCTTGTCGACATTGCTACGAGGAGAAATGTTATTCCATTTGCCCGTCTGTCCGACCACAATTGATCCTTTCAGAAAGTGAGGTGCATAGGCAAGAACAACAGCTACAGGGAGAGTGAACAGAGAGTAGTTTGATGATAGGTCAAACATAATCAATGGCGTATTTTTTTAGGGTGGGATCTGGAGGGATGATGATGGGAATTTAAGAAAAATATCAGAAAAGTGAGAGGGAAGATGTTGGGTTTTATAATTCGGAAGAACAAGGATCGGGTAATCATTGCTTTAAATGACCACAGTGGGCAGTATTATTAAGACTTTTTTATGCGTGAGTAAAAATAAGAACATTATTATCGTTAATATTATTCTCTGTATACAAATCATTGTTGTCACGAAATTGGTGTGACATACTAAAGAGCGATTGTTTTTCGAGAAAAGAAAAAGGAAAGGAGAAGAAAAAAAATAACAAAGATCTTTCTTTTTTTTCCCATTGCATTACGTTTGTTTCGTTTTTTTGCCATCGAGCATAATGTGGAAACCTTAAACACACAATAGCCTTAAACAGCACTAAAACTGATGCGGAAAGAACGATTTCACCATTTCGTTCTCGGTTAGTGCTTATGACGATATTCTCCCATGTCTTCTTATTGATTAGCGTCTTTGGGGCTGATTTTGGGAGTTTATGAGCAATTTTTTATTTCTTTGATCGAACACCATCATATGAACAAACGCCTCTTTTTTCATGAGGAAAATAGTCTACGCCTTCTTCTTTTTGACCGTCAACTTTTCTAACAATTGGAAATGTGGGCTGATATTTTCTGCCCAACGCAATAATACCAATAATATATCACGCACTCATTGTTGCCCGACGCTGGGAACTATATTAATAATTCTACATCAAATAAACTTGGATAATGTGCCGTCTGTTAACCTATTGTGTCTGATAAGATGTAAACTTGTGCTCTTTCAGGTTGCATTGTTGCTTACGCATCTTGCTTTCCGATGAAATGAAAGTTTTGTGTTTCTATAATTAGGCTTAATTATAATGCCGTTTATTTTCACAAATCGGGCATTGCCTTCGAATTTTCGGTGCATATCAAACGAACTTTGAAGAGTATTTGTTGTATATCATTTTTGGACCACTTGTATTTCATTTTGCAGACAACAATGTATCAAGACGACTGACAATCTGACAATAATCTGAATTTTGATCGGAAACCACGTTTACTATTGTACGTTGACTTGATAATGTCTTCATCCCTTACACAAACTTTATTAGATCTACAGAACATGCTCATTTAGAAGTAGGAGACTATTCTGGGCATGAGCGGAATGATAATTACGTAATCTTACGTAACTATACGAACAACGTTTATTAAATCGCATTGCACATTACACAACCCTCTTTGTAGAATATGTTAGCAACATCGGCAAGTGGGTAATAGTAATTATTTGAGCTGGTAAACCGACATCGTAATCGGCAAAAGAATTGTCCTATCAGCGGTTTAATAGGAGCTTTCCAGGTGTTGCTTTCCCAGGTGTTGTACGTCATCGCTTTCTCAGGCATTCTGACGACATTCTTGCCCATGGGCATTGTGCCCTAGCATATCCTTGATCAGCAGCTTTTTGATACAATTCAACCGCCTTTTGCTCATCTTTTTCTACCCCAATTCCACTTTCATAACACACACATTGTGCTTGAGCATTTTCTTTATGCACATCTGCAGAGGAAGCCATGCTGTAATTATAATTATAACTTATATAACCTGGTTTATAAGGCTTATGGTTCTAACTATAACCAGTATAAAAATCCTCTAATTCAAAATTTAGTACATCATATAGTTTGCAATGGTGGTTGGATTATTTACGCTCTTGAACTAAGGATGTTAATGATTTTATTTATAAATTTTATAACCCACACAATATTTTTCAAACTTGTTGAAGGAAGACCCATAATTAGTCCTGTGATCACCACTCAAATTTCATCCCAACGTAGGGTCTGCAAGTTCTTCCGTTTCATTGACAATTGAATAAATTTGACTCAAAGCAAAGCGATAGACAAGAAAATTCTATCGTAAGTTGACATTTACCCTTTGTTGACCAAATCTTGGAAAGGAACGTAAACATGTGACATACGATCAGCTAATGGAGACAATTATTAAAATTCGGTTATTAAGATGGAGTGTATCCCAGTCACGTTACGTGTCTATTAAGGCGGCGTTACTAGAAAAGCTGGGAAGAATAATGGCACATTACCTGGTATATATAACTAATAAATAAATCGTATACTAAATTCGGTATATCAATAACCTAAATTGGCGTAAGGTCCTCGTGCTAATACTAATGGTATGCAAATAATAAACAAAAGTGCAATTTTTTGGGTTTCGAAAGCAGGGCACATTGTTTGTGATGATATCGAATAAATGCGCTTATTCCGACCTGCGGTCAAATTTTAACAAAACCGGCAGTCTGCACCATGTTTGTCCTTTCCTCTTTACACTCTCACCATGACCAAGCATTCCGTTATCTCTCTGCTATTAATTGTAGTTTTATCAGTGCTTGTTGCTCTTACAACTGCGTCGGAGGAAGCGCTAATTACCAAAAAAGGTCTTTACTATTTCCAAGACTTGCTATAGACTCGTGCTTTGAGCGTATGCAAAAAATGTTAAACTTTTTTTTGTCTTAGTTTACTTTGATGTCAAACAAGGAGATAAGAACCTAGGCCGTATAGTAATAGGCCTCTATGGTAATGTGCGTATATGCGATCATCCTATTTTATTACAAGGCTTTTTCTCTCTTTTTTTTCCTAACAATTTTTAATAACCAGGACGTTCCCAAGACTGTGGAAAACTTTCGTGCATTGGCCACTGGAGAGAAAGGATTTGGATATAAGGGTTCCAAGTTCCATCGGGTGATTAAGGTACTTGATTTCCTATGCCACTTCTCCTTCCATAAACATTCTTAAAAGTGACCAAACTATACTCTGCATAACAGGACTTTATGATTCAAGGCGGTGATTTTACAAAGGGCAATGGTACCGGTGGGAAGTCAATTTATGGAAGTTCTTTCCCTGACGAGAACTTCAAATTTAAACATACCGGACCGGGTATATTGAGTATGGCAAATGCTGGAAAAGATACCAACGGATCACAGGTAAACGACCGATTTGGAATGATTTCTTGTCAATTATAGTTTCGGTAGAGAGCAAGTGGTTTAATCTATGTTACGGATATTCTTCAGTGAAATATTTAGTCTTTCAATTCATTCAAATTGCGTAACTGACGATGTGTCTTGCTCTTTTTCTATGCAGTTTTTTATCACTACTGTTCCGACCCCATGGCTAGATGGTCGTCACGTAGTCTTTGGTAAAGTGGTTGAGGGACTGGACATAGTTTTGAGTATTTCAAATACAGAAACTGGTTTTCAAGATAAACCAAAAGTCGACGTGGTTATTGCAAACTGCGGAGAGATTAAAGTTGGCGAAACAGGGAAACCATTGAAACAGCAGGAACTATGATTTTACATAGAAATAGCAACAAGGCAGAAATAAAGTAGATCTAATAATGTTATTACACTCATCGTGTTTATTACTGTTAATCCTCGATAACTCATTTGAGCAACAAGGCATGCGATAATCTAATTTGAATAATTGGCAAGATGAGGAGGGTGGTTTGGAGAGGGAAATGTCGAACTTCAGTATTATAGTATCCGGCATGGCTTTTCGTGACCGTGCGCGTCAAGCTGAACACCCTCGTCTTGTCGTATGATCTTTTGCCACGAATTAAATCTGATTTACTGGAACCCGACGTTATGTTTTCCGTGAAGGCCGAGAATGCGCGAAGGATGCTTGATAAATGAAAAGAAAAAACCAACAAACAAACAAAAACGAGCAACCCAATCCCCGGTGTAATAAACTTCGCACTTTCTTATGTAGATACACCAAATCCTTGAATCAGATAAAGGAGACTTCGGGCAATGACGAACCATTCGAGGCACTAGAGCGTGGATTAACTCGTAATAAAACAAAGTCAATGAGTTTGTTCCAGTAGATAATACAAATTGCTCTTCATAAAATAAAAAGTAGTTTCCTAGTGAATTAGAACTTTAGAAAATTTGTCAATTAACACATTTGTACCACAATAATATAAACTGGAAATTTCCCTTCTGAATTCTACATCCTTCTCCCACTCATTCCTGTTTGCACTCCATATTCTCTAGATCCTCAAATTCTATTCAGAAAAATTGCAAATTATTAAATTTTCTGACGTCTCGGGTCTGAGCGAGTACCCAGATATTCAGATCCATGTCAACAGACAAGAAAGTAAAGTCCCCTCGTTCCTTTCACAGCGGGTCCACGAGTTCATTTACTGACGATCGCGGAGGCGACAGCGGCAAAGCACGAGCGGGAGAGTCAGCCGCGTTTGGGGGAGACAATGTGTTGGATACTTTAATGCCGTTGACTGTTGGAGATAATTCGTCTCCCGCGTATGCACCCACATCGGATCGAGATAAACTACGTACGAGAGCGGGGGGAGATACAAGTCCGTACGTTCCGAATTCGGCTGAAGCACATCAACATGGTGGATTGGCCTCTGACAAGTTTGTCGATTATCCGTAAGTCAAAAGAGATTCGACTGAAAGAAGAGAAATCTGTTGCGAGTAACAAGTTGTGGGATAAGACAAGGATATGGGAAACTAACATTAATTTTTCCGTATTCGTAGGGATCATACTTTCACTGGTTGCTCACCGATAGAAGACTATAGGATATTAGAAAAACTAGGAGAAGGAACGTTTGGGTATGACATTCATCTTTTTGACGGCTCTACTGTTTGTTACAGCTAAATTAAAGCTTGCAGTCAAGTGTTATTATCGATATCTACTCAACTTTCACAATAAACCTGTTGTCTTCCATATTGATTGTACATTCCTCAGATGCTCGTTTTTTACCTCTGACACGCATTTCACATTCTACTATCCTTCTCTCTTCCATATCGAAGTGAAGTGCATAGAGGGACACATGAGCGGTCAGGTAGCCAAGTGGCATTAAAGCGAATATTAATGCATCATGAGAAAGAAGGCGTTCCGATAACTGCAATACGAGAAATCAAAATCCTTCGTCAGTTGGATCATGAGAACGTTGTTAGCTTGACGGACATGGCTATTAAGTTTAGTAGTATGTATATGATTACTAGTTGAATTTTGGTGGGCAATATAGGTATAGGACTATTATGAGTAACTGTTTGTATAAACTTGCATTGGCGAAAGAATGTCAACAAGAATTCTTAATTATGTTATTGATCTATTATAGACGCAACAGATGACAATGGAGAAACACAACCACCCTCGATATATATGGTCTTCCCTTATATGGATCATGACCTTGCTGGACTACTAGAAAACCCTTCTGTCAAGTTTTCAGAGGCCCAGATTAAATGTTATTTAAAACAGTTGTTAGACGGCACAAATTATTTACATCAGGTGAGTTGAAGATAATTCATTATTTTGGTGAGGCAAGTATAATGCATGCTAATTATTTTCTAAACAAATCAGCAAAAAATTCTTCATCGTGACATGAAAGGTAATCGATCCTACAAGACATCTTGTACAGTCAACTCGAGTTATTTACTTAAATTAACTGTTTGTTATTTCATCTTTGTTATCGTTTTACCATGCTCGTTTCTCTTGCAATATATACCTTGTTCATTCTGACTCCAATCTCCTCCCCTCTTCCTCTCTTTTCCGTTGTCTAAAACACAGCTGCGAACCTTCTTATCAACAATCGTGGAATATTGAAAATAGCCGATTTCGGTCTCTCGCGTCCAATGGTCGACAAAACGCTCACTGGCTGTGTAGTTACTCGATGGTATCGCCCACCCGAGCTTCTTCTCGGTGAGAAACGTTATACGACCGCCATTGATATGTGGGCCGTTGGATGTGTGTTTGCAGAAATGCTCAAAGGCGGGCCCATTTTAATGGGAAGATCCGATATGGATCAGTTAGATTTAATCTTTGATTTATGCGGAGGTCCGACTGAAGAAAGTATGCCTGGTTGGAAAGATTTGCCCGGATGCAAAGACGTACAATTTGGAAAGGCACATATAAGGAGAGTTAAAGACGAGTACGAAAGGTTAGTTGATGACGCACGCGAATAAAATGTCTACAGAGTTTTTTACTAGGCAAATTTGTTATTATGATGTGTTCACATTTCGAGTTACTAGTTCTGTGCATGTATTAACTTTGCTCATTGTTAGATATGGGAAACAAGCAGCAGATCTGCTAGATAAATTATTGGTGCTTGATCCTAAGAAGCGATTAACAGCATTTAATGCATTAGAGCATAGCTATTTCTGGACTTTTCCAAAACCAGCAAGTCCCAGAGAGTAAGTGTTCGATTTCAGTAAACCAAAAAGGACATAACTGACATTATCTTTTTCATTAGACTTCCGAAATATGAGTCATCCCATGAATATGACCGTCGTAAGTTAAAAATGTCCCAAGCCGAACATCATCACCACAACAACCACTACGATAATGTCCCTCCATCACCTAATGCAAACGTCGATATTGAGAATTCACGATATCGAAACCGTGAACATCGAACTAAAAAACGGGAGAGATCTCGTGAAAGGGAACGGGATAGACTGGATAGAGCGGATAGAGATAGGCGAGAAGAGAGGGGAGAAAGAGGCGACAGAGATAGGAGAGAAGGGAGAGATAGAGGGGATAGAGGGGATAGGATTGATAGGGTTGATAGGGATAGAGAGAGAGATAGAGGTGATAGGGATAGAGACAGAGATAGAGGTGATAGGGACAGGGACAGAGATAGAGACAGAGATCGAGGAGATAGAGACAGGATCGAGAGGAGGCCACGGAGGATGAGACATGGGAGCTATGGAGGGGGAGACGAAGGGTATAGGTAAAAACAAAAGTAAAGGAGAGTTCGGTGTGACAGATAAATTGGTTAAAATAAAGGACATTTCCCAATTCTTTTTTGTTGTATTAGAAAGGTGGGGACATTGAAACTGCCAAATTTCACTATTGAGGGAATAAATTATCGATTAAAGAATAAAAAGTCTGCAATGCAGATATTATTTCCAGATACCCGCCTCAATTAATTTCACATTGAGGAGAGCTATGTAATGTTTTTGTGTATGTCATCCATACCGGGTATGATAAAACTAAAATTAATTACATTAAACAGCTTCAAATACAATAAAAGATTCGACATTACAAAATCGACGATTAATGTTCTTTTTTTTTTTTTGCCTATTCCTATTCCTTTCCGTTTGTATGTTGTTACCCGATAGTTTGGTCTATTATACACTGTCTATGGTTTCTTTTGTATGCTCTTCATGTCAGCATGAAACGAGAAATCATAAACTCCAAAACCAAAGTCAAAGTTACGATTACTCAATACCCTAACAAATCTAAACCCTGTGTTCTGTATATGGAATGTAGCAGAGATTACAGGCGTTTTTCTGCCATCGGATGTTCGTGATACTTTATGTATATCAATTGGAATTGACGATTGTTTGACCTATAGTAAGAAAATTAGAGTTTGAGCAAACGATGATAATTTCCTCTGGTGCCAATAAGGTGAAGTTATGTCTACTTACCCAATTAAGACCATCATTTGAAATCTCAACCGATTGCGCACCGAAATAGTCGGGCTTATGATCTACTACAAGATGAAATGTAAGAGGGACATGCATCGGAAGTAGAAGATCTAGACCTATGTAATCGTTCGCATGAATATCTACAAAAAAACAAGGACGATAAGTACTTGACTTTTATCATCCAAACCACTAATAACCCTAATATTGTCAATAAATTCAATCATTCAAAACTCACTTTCTTTAGACTTCCACGCGGTCCAGTCCTTTCCGTCAACAGCATGCGAATACGGAAATTCTATAAAGTGCTGTGTCTTGTAATAACTCTCATGTATCTGCTCACTCTCACTTATGTTGATATATGGCTTATACCGAAACAGCCTGACATCAGGAAATGAATGCTTGTTTGTCAGAAACAAACATCTATCATTGGCACACGGCGATCTAGTGTCTCTCTGATAAATCTTTGGATAATGCTCGAGCTTCTCAAACGGCGACGTGTTTTTTCCCAAATGATCGTATAGTCTAATCAGGGCTCTGTGCATGTATATTTTATTCCGGATACGTCCTTCACCGGCGGAAAAAGCAAATTCTTGAGGAAGTTCTGTGAGTTCATTCTCCAGTTGATATGGAACTTGGTTCATATATGTTGTAAAATACATGTCGCCGTATGCAAATTCTGTTGGATCCATTTCGGTAATTGCAGCCATTTTAAGAAAGCGTATAACATTTTCGCGTGATGCAAAGGCGCCTGTGCCAACCCAAGAGAAACAGACATGGAGATTCACGGCTGTTTTTATGAAATGGGATAAAGGTTATATTTAGGGAAACGGGCTAAGTTAGAGAGATTTGACAGTTAACAAGGTTATAGTTAAGAGTTGATCACAAATAAAATTCGAATCTAATCAGCTAATCGTTTCACCGATCGTTTCGTTATTCCTAATAATATTCCTTCAACAAACACATTCCCACATTCCCACCTCCCCTCTCCCGCTCTCCCCAAAATCTCTTCCTCCTCGACCTCCCGCGATTGCTTACGATCATCAAAAAAGCACCATTTCCAGTTGGTCAAAGAATAAACATCCGCGTTAGTATCTGTATGCACCAAATGTGGAAACCTTAAAAAGTTTGCATAAAACGCTCTCATGTGGTTTATTATCCAATCGTCATCTTGAAAGTAGCAATACTCTGTGGTGGCCATTGTGCATGCTATGTAACGAGCGATAAAGTGCATGTTACCAGGCGAGTTGTAGATGCGGATTTTGGGACAATGAACTTCGGCGAAGATCTTGAGAAAAGACAAAGAAAGAAAATGAAGTTGGGCGCCATAGTTGTAACGAGTATTATGTGGTTTTTGTTCTTTTTTCTGTTTTCTTTCTCTCAGTTTTCCATATTTCCTCACCTTTTCAGCACACTATGCTCTCACGTACCTGATCGGTCAAATGCACCTGAACATTATTATTCCAAATAATGATCTCCTTAAACATACTATAACGACACAAATGCTTTACAATAACTTTCAAGTTTTCTAATCTTGACCAATTCAACAAAATAGCCGTTGCCATTCCATCTCCTTCAGTTGGAAATACGTTGGCCAAAGGATCCACTTCCTCAGGTGACTCCAAAAACGTCTGCCCTTCTTGTACATCAACTCTCTGGCCACTGAACAATATATAATATAACATTACAAATGTGAATACTAATACGACTCGTTGTTTGATTGAAATGTTCGTCGATATGAAGTTCATGCATTGTTTCAGAAACTCTTGACATTTTTGCGCTATAGCTGTGTCGTGGTCAAAGATTATACGTATTTGTAAGCCAGATTGGTCTCGAGATTTCTGATTCATGATGTGGAAAATCGCGAGTAGGTATGGTTGGCTGGCTGGAAGCGGTGACAAACTAACTTATATTTTCTTCTTTTCCTATTCTTGCAAACCCGGCAAGGTAAGGAAGAAAGACTAAGATTTCACGATGTATTAATTTGGTTGACTAGGGATGTCTCTTGTTTCTGGGTGTTGTTATTCTATCAAATTAAAAAATGCAAGGTTTTGTCTATGTAAACAAATAGAATTCAACTTATGCTTTTATTTGCAAAACCTGTGCCCACATTAAGCAGTAACACAACCCATTATTATTTATCACAGTCCGAGATCGCGGATTTGCTTCATAAACGGGCTATCGAAGAATTTTCATGTGTTACTGGAATATGTCTTTTTAATTAGTCGCGCTTCCTTTTCCAAGCATTTAGTACGCTAGATCAGGCAACAAGACTTGTCCAGAATCACAGAATGTCGGCAATTCATTATAAATCATTTCCTTCCAAGTCTAAAAAGCTTGAAATCTAATTTACAAAGAATACTTGGCCATTTCCGTTATTCAGCTGATTTCTTATTCTACCGAGACTAACTGACTTTTGACAATAAACAAGGCTCTTGGCTTCTAGTCTTGCATTTGTTGTGTACAAAATGTGATGTTTAAACAGGAAACTGCTTTCTAAAGTTGCGTGGAACGTAAAATGATCGATAAGGGTCCTCAATTAATTCATTATCAAACGCCAATCAGAATCAGATTAATCGCTTACTATTAGATGATTTACAGTTTCGGAAATCTCTCGGGACCGTATTAGGTTTAGCAATATCGTACACTTAACTTGCAAAAAAAGAAAAACCCCCCCAAAAAAACTAATATAAATATGCATGAAAACGTTTTACAACCTTCGTTGCTATTGACCACCCACCTAACCTTTTCATCTTCTTGAACTTTGAGAAAAAATAGAACACAAACAAAAAGTCCGAGGCCGAATGTCAACCACTAAAGCGTGGCTAGACGAGGCCATTGAGGGTCGGCACATCAAATTTGTACCATTTAAAGAGTTCACCGGAATAGAGTTTGTAGCAAGAGGCGGATACGGTACTATCAAAAAAGCCACTTGGAGAGCACGCAAAAAGAAAGTTGCATTAAAAAGTCTAGAGTCGTTATCAAAATGCGACGACGCCGAGGCTCGCGTAGCGTATAAAGAATTAATCAACGAGGTAAAGGAATTGCTTTAATTTTTTCTTGCGTTCGCGAAGAATGTGCCATTCATCACGTGAATAACGTTTGAAATTTGACAGCTTAAATTACTCAGAAACTTTGCCGATGATGACAGAATCATCAGATTTTACGGGCTAACCAAAGGTATGGCCTTGATTATATAGAGAGCACTGCTTAAAATGACGCATCATGCCTGATATGACCTCGATATAACACAAAAGTAGTTAACATGATTTGTCCCTCATCCCTTAATAAATTCAGACCCCTCTTCGTTAGACTACGTCCTCGTAATGCAATATGCGAATGGTGGTACTCTACGCAACTATCTTGCAGCAAATTTTGCCAAACTTACCTGGAAAGATAAACTACGCCTTGCTATAGACATCGCCAGCGCTGTAGACTGCCTTCACGCGGAAAACATTATTCATCGAGACCTTCACAGCAAGAACATACTCATCAATAATCACCGAGCAGTAATCGCTGATCTTGGTCTCTCGCGTATCGTTTCTCCATCATACTCACCTACTTCCCGTATAGCTGGCATGATTCCATACATAGACCCACAACGATTGAACAATAACATTACGTCTCGCAGTAAACTGTGCGATATCTACAGTTGTGGTGTGTTACTGTGGGAATTGTCTTCGGGCAAAGTTCCATTTGCAGATAAAAGTCACGATTTAGGGATGTTCCTCGATATATTCAACGGAATGAGAGAAGTACCCACTCCCGATACTCCCGTTGATTATTATAACCTTTATAGTGATTGTTGGTCATTTGACCTAAGTCAGCGACCGCAATCAACTGATGTCATACTGGAACGATTAGAGAAAATCAGGATGACACCGACCGTGCACGATTGCTTTGGATCTATGGTGGTGGAAAAGTCTAGCGAAATTATGGACCAACCCTCTCCAAGAAGCAGTCAAATGGTTCCTACTCTACCGGATTTGGCAATTCCGTGTGACGCTAACGTATTCACAGACCAGACAATCGACAAGTCAAACTATGTGGAAACTATTTGTATATCAACAACACAAGAACAGCATCAAGAATTATCTCTACTCCCGTCTGCACTAACCCTTGATGGTTTCGCCGACATAGACTGGGGACCGCTCTCCTACATCTCAACCCAAACTATCAAACGCTTGGATCGCAAGTTTCATCATCATCTGCGCGATAAAATATTCCTCCGACGCATAACGGATCTAATCATATCCGGATCATTCTCGAAGTTCATCGAAATGTCAGCTGACCCGCTTTCGAACTCGCCCCAACAAAAAGTTCTTTGTCAATTTTTGCAGATTTGTTCGCCCAAGAATTTCTTGTTTGATCGAGACAAATTGGATACGATCACGGAAGATTCTCATACCGATGATGAATACTTGTTGGATAATCAATTTCTGGATGATCTTCTTTCTTGCATACACGACTCGTTCTTTGCTTTGTTCCCATGGGCTAGAATTGCTCTATGGAATCCTAAACTTATGAAAATGCAAAGCATGAACGTGATGAATGAGAAATGGAAATTACGACGAAAACGCCTGAAAGTCTCGCCAAAATTACAACGAGGAACTCGGGCTATCAGCGATAATGATAGTGCAAATGCTCCACACGATCCGGGTGGAACATCAAGGACTTACTGTGCTATGCAACCGTCGACCAATTTTTCCGAACAGATTGTATGAATTTTTAATTTTTTTTTTCTCAAGTTGTAAGTTTGGATTTTAGAGGACAAAACGTTCTAACCTGATGATTGGTTGCCTCAACCAGATACCGCATAAACATGCTTCAAAACTCGTCAGTGGCAGAAACTCAACACATCGTGATCCTGGATTCGAAAGACCCATTAATACGAAGAATGCATTGCATGGTATCGTCAATGAAGGATTTAGATGCTTATCTAATTTACCGAGAAATATCGCGTCCTCAGGAGAGTTGGGTTGTGCCCCTCGCTTTGGTAGCCCAAGCTTTACTCGGAAGCCAATTACTGAAGAGTATACTTGGTACGTTGTTTGCATTAATTAGTTCACTTAATTCTTGGAATACAGTACTTGTTCACTAATCATTATGACTTTTTTTATCAGGATCGATACGCTTGCATCTCGATGTCTCAATGGACGACACGAGCATATCGCATGTATCGCGGCCTTTTAACAATGAAATATTCTATGCTGTTTTTCTATGTTGATGTTTAATGTGATAACGTTATGAGATAATTTGTCTTCCCATGATTACTCGTCATTGTCGTATTGTTTTATGTCATATTCTAGCCACTATTTATTAATAATAGTGAATGCTTTTTCTTTTTTGGTTTTTTTTTTTTAGTGTTGTGTGATATTCATACCGCGAACGCTTAGACTGATGTTTACCTCATTATTATTATTGTTATTGTCTAAATAAACATTTGTCGACCTCAGGATATCAGATAATCGATTCTTGCTTAATCAATTGCTTGGCATATGACATGTGGGCCATCCGTAGAAGCTGTTCTAACACCGGGCCACTTTGTTCACATCGGACACAATAGTTGCGTTGTGAAAAGATGTAGATGTTCCCAAAAATACGTCATTGATTAAGCTTTAGTATATTTTAGACCGCATCGCGGCAGCATCAACTCACGAGTATCTTCGTGTCTTTGTCACGGAAGACTTCAAGAAACTTCTCCAGAACTTACAGACTCGGGAAAATCTTGATATGTTTTTGGAGCTCAGTTTCATATAATTCTTCAGCACTTGGTCTTTTCTGGGGATCAGCATGCCAACGTCTTGTGATTAGATCTTTTAGCAATTGGGTATTAGTATAGGAACTTATCTAGATTCTCGATAGAAGCTTCGCCTCTAACGAGTTCTGCAACTAATGACTTTGTGACTCGGCGTTGGGGACATAGAGCAGTATATACATAAGTAGAGTAGATACGACTAGTAATATGTATTGTAATATAATCTTCATAATATCAAATATTTTTACACTCTTCTTTTGCTGTCAATTCGTTTCTACTATGTAGAAACATCCAGAAATGAAAGAATCCAGGATGAAGATCTGGATAGACATTGGCCTGCAATAAAAATAATATAAATAATGATGAAATGTTTCTTCATCTGCCTGATAATGTCTATAGTTTAAAAGGTTAAGATAAAACTCCAACTTTGGTATTAGTATTAGTATGTAAATGCTACTGAGATCTGGTTACTGTCATCATTAATGATAATTGTACAAAAGAATATGTATCATAATCACTGGAAATCCAAGAATTAGGAATAAGAAAAACATACTTCAGACATTATAATTACTCACTGCATTTGTTTGCACAAGCAGGAAGAACTATTTTATATTCTAAACGATTTTATATGTAAAATGAAGGACAGTTTCTAAGCCATCTTAGTCTGCAGCATTATTGACAATAACTATCAGCGGCTCAACACCATCATCCTTGTTTTTAAGTCAAGGATTACTCTATAGTAACATAAACAGTAATAGGAGGAAGTGGAGGGATGACAGGTAGAATTTGCCATTAAAAAATATAAGGGGGCATTGTAAACTGTAGGTGCATAGTAAACTGTAGGTGGCATAGTAATAGAACAGTTCCTGAAACAATTTTTGAATAAAATTAAAAAGGTTGAACATTGACATTTTAATTACAGTCAAACCTGAATTTCGACGAAACCAGAAAAAATATCCCTTATAACCAGAAATTCAAGGTCACTTTATAGCGAAGATTATAATTTTTATAAGTAGGCTCATAATATCCAGATCATGTGTTTTATTAATGCTACTACCATATTGATCAACTTTAGTTAAATTCATATCTGACGCCTATAACAAGGGCAAATATTGTATATATATTTCTGATTAACTGCTCCAACTGCGTCTGTGCTTTCTTAGACATAATTGTCCGGAGCAAAGCGAAGGACTATTATAATTACTGTCTTCGCACTGTGAAAAATTCGATCTCTCTGTGCGGCACATGATCTTGACCAATGATTGTGATTGATGAAGATGGCATTATTGATTGTTCCGGACTCACAACGGTTCCCGTTTTCTAGTATGATTGAGATTATACCCGTTTATAACGAATATTAGTTTGTTATTGTAACGAATTTATGGTGGTACAATTTTTTATAGTGAACTTCAATTAGTAGCGCATTATGTTGTTCTGACAAATCTTCATTATAAGCATTATAATTATAACCAGATTTTTTAATAAAATTCGCTATAGCCAGCCAGATACTCAAAAATGATTGACTTAAGAGAAAATCTTCATTATAATAATAAATATCTTCATTGTCCGGAGCAAAGCGAGCACTATGAGAATTTCGATCACATGAACTTCTCTGTCCGACACATGATCTCGACCAATGATCGTGATTGATGATGAGCGTTATTATCATTCTCATATTGAAATTGGCGAATACAAGTTCCCGGACTCGCGTTTTCTAGTAACTTGACCGCTTGAGTTTATACGCCAGAACAATCTTGAATTACCGTATTAGTATCCTTCCGAATTTAAGCACCACCCGGACTTTAGGCAGAAAAACTTGAAAAACAAAAATAAGCACAGCACTACCCAAAATTTATGCAAAAAATTTTTTATTATATTTTTTATTCTATTTCTTCCACTCTAATTTATCAGCTGAATCATTATCTATATCTATAATTTCTTTTTATTTTCATCAATTTTCTTCTCCTTTTTATTTTGTCCAAATAAATTGTCTTATGACCCATACATTGCATTACTTTAAGCTTTTCAGCAGCAGAATAAATGAGCATTGAATTTTGGCATTGTGTTGAAGAAATAGAAAGATGTACAAAAAAATCAAGCTTCCGAATTTAAGCACCGCTAGGAATTTTGCCCCGATTTTCCCCTAAAAAAAGTGGACAGTATACCAAAAGTATCTCGAGATGCAACAAGGTAAGCAAGCAATGAATACATGTTTATTGGGAGGATAGTTGAAATGCATTATGACATGCATGGGGGTTGGGACATAGAGCAGAGTCATAGCAAAGATTAGGTTATATGTAAACTCGTTTCAGAGATGAACTGGAGGGGTGACAAGAGAATTCTGGTTAATATTAATAGAGGAACAGTGGCAACATGTGTGCTGGGAGGAGTGTAGAATAGAGCATAGTAAATGTTATTATATCTGTTTTAGTCCGTTCGTTTGAGCAATCTTGGTTATGGTATGCTGTTTGTAACATTGACAGTCTCCTTTGCATTTTTGTTTTTCTAACTTATTGTGACACATTCAGCAGAAGGTGAACAGAACAAAGTCGAAGCTGATATTTCACCATTTCAGCAAAATGAAGTAAAGCTAGCTTTTAATTTAAGTTACATTGATGCTGAGAATGTCATTGGAGACTTCAAGTGTGAGCTTCATGCTAAGCACCAATGTTGGACAGAACATTGAACTAAATATGTTCCATACTGAACATTGTTTCAAGCCTCAGGATATGGCAAATCTCATCTTATACTTATCAAAGAGGTCACCAAGGACATTCCCACACTTTACCTTTGCTTACATCCTGCAGCAAGTATGGGATATCCTCCACAAACAGAGATCATTGCAAACTTTTGGAAAAAACTTTTTTCATACAACTTCAGCAGGGAAAAGAATGGTGACTTGCTTACATTTTTTTTCAGTTAATGAATTTATTTTACACAAGGAACATAAGCCACTCACCTGAGTGGATGTGGGATTTACAGATGGGGCTTTGGGGGTCCTTCCTTCTGGACTGAGGTTCTGAGGAACATAGAGAATTGGAAACAAGTTACTGAAAATGACATGTTGGACATTATGTCTCAAAATCTCCCTTGGTAATCATATTAATATGGGCAAGAAACATTAAGATGATTATATGTGTTGATGAGGCACAGTCTCTTCTTCCTCCCAGAAAGATGCCATTAATCTATTCATATTCAGACTTTTTTGAAGAGCTCTGCAACAGATCAACAGGCAGGGCAAATGGACGGGATTCTTCATATTACACTTAGTAAATATAAAGTAGCAAATTCCACTGCAGCTGATCCATCTACCAGAAATGACAATGCAAATGTGGACCAAGAAACTGGTATAATTCTTTTTATATTCTTTTTTGGTTCACCATATCTTGGCGTTAATAATCATTTAGTAGTTATTTTCCGTTTCTCTTGATAAATTTCAAAACTGATTTTTTCTTGATCCAGATATTCCTCAAGAGTTTTGGTGTCATTGATCTTAAAAACATAAGGCACAATTTTTTCTCCTTGGGGTTTTTTTTAGAATGCTTCTAATGGTGCTGTAATTCTTTGGTTTCATAATGAATTTAATGTAAATTAGTTTCATATTATATTTTTATATTGGGTAAAGGTAAAAAGTCTTTAATATTAAAAATACTTGTGATGATGCAAGAGGACAGAATAAAAATTACTAATTTACCTGTATTTAACAGTTTGTGGTCATTATGGAAGTATTGAATTAAATTGTATAATACAGTGACTTACAAAACCAGCTCAATGTTTAAAAGAATTGAATGTGCAAGCTTATAACTCCACAAATATCCAACTAATTTACATAAAATTTAAACTGGATATAGTCTTGCATTCTGGCTTCTAATTCACTTTTGTTTTATTTGAAAAGACTTAGTACTTCAAGAGTTATGATTTTTTAAATTTTATTAGTGCATTGAGCTGGTTTTGTAACCTGTAAACATATTAACTGTTACACCTTTGTATGATGTAATGCAGATGCGCAACTCGATTTGTTTACTCAAAAAACGCGTTATTTGCACTTATTTGTATATACAGTATATTAATATATGTTGTTTGTTTATATTTTTCCACTCTTCTTTGAATTAAATTCTCATTATGAAGCCTATTTCTGAAGAAACTCATAATAAAATTGTTTCCCTACTTGAATGGACTTTCTTCATATAAATTTGCTGCACAATTAAATATTAGTCATGCAACTGTGGATAGAGTACATGAGAAGTCAAGACCAACATAAAAAACAGTCAGGGTGAATGGCCAGCCAAACTTACTGAAACTGATAAACGTAGGTTGGGTGCATACAATCACTTCAGGAAAGGCAGATAATGCTGCTCAGCACTCTCATGAACTGAAGGAGAGCACCAACATAGTGTTGAGCACCCAGACAGTGCATTGTGCTTTAAAGGAAGCT